AAGCTTCAATCCGAAATCTTCCGTGGTCTTTAATTCCGAACCCATTTCTTTAGTCTTTTTTTTTAACCCATGTAAACAGAACAAAAATTTAATTTATTTAATTAATATCACAGTACACTTTGTTTAAAATAAGAAATTTAAGCAAAATTTTCGAATTTTTTACAACGAGCGAAAATAGCACGACGTAAACCATAGAATCATATAGAATCATATAAACCATAGAATTTATAGTCTCATATTTTTTGGTGGGTTTGTTATTTGTTTCTTGAACTTTATCATCAACTACAACAACTTCATGCAATTTGGTGATTACTTGATCCTTAGGTAATTCAACTTTTTCATCTGATATGTTACAAACTCTAATACACGTAGACGGTTTATTGACATTAATTAACGATCTCGCAGCTAGCAAATTGGTTTTGATTTTATTTATGCTAGTTGACCATGCTGTATCCTGTCCTAAAGGTTTCAAATTTGGTTTTTCTATAAATGTCTGAATGAACATTTCACTGCGGGGTGGAATAACAGCTGTAATTTTCGAAATGCATCTTATATCTGTTTCTTGTCTAGATTTTACGAGGTTGTAACTTTTTCCGTTTATTACAATAATACTCCTTCCAAAATTCCAAATGCAGTTGTTATCATATAACCAATTTTTTCCTAAAATTATATAATCAACGTTTGGTGACACATAGAAAGTTGTAAAAATGTTCTGATAAATTCTAATGGCAGTGTAATTGTTCCGTTTACTATTAACTCTATGTTACAGTTCCTTATTACTTTTCCAAATTTTCAAATCATCAACAAATTTCTTTGGACAAAGATTCACATCGGCACCACTATCTAATAGACATTTTAAATGTTTAGTCCTAAATACAGCTTCTACATGAACTAATGCTTCCTTTTCATGGTTACACTTGGAGGGTGTTTTTACTGTTTTTACGTTTCGATTTATTCTCGTCGTATTTTTAAAACTACCAAATTTTTGCCTGAAGTTATTAGTGTTCGCTTGACTGAAATTTCCATTATTTTGCTGGTAACTACTTTTTTTTGGTCAGTCGCACTGTTGTTTCTGATGAAATTATTATTTCCAAACTTATTGTTAAAATCTTCTCTCTGACTGTTATTTCTGTTCCCAAATTTATCTCGTTTAATCTCATCAATCATGCTGAACAATTTTTCTATTCTGTTATTCATATTTGTAATTGGATCATCTTGTTTAACAACATTGGATTTCTTGTCATCAAACTCTTTATTATCTCGAACTATCTGAACTAAAGATCTCGAATGATTTCTCTTGCCATCATCTGATAATACTTTATATTTCTCATATAGCTGACATACTTCATCTAATGTTCTTGGTTCTTTGTCTTTTACATAGAACATGATGTCTTTATTACCAATAGCATTAATTAAATGTTTTACTGTAAACTTTTCTCTCATGTCATTACTTAATTCTGGGTAGGATAGCCTTGACAGTCTGTTAACTTCCTGAGACACATCTCGAATGTTCTGATCTTTTTGTAATCTAAGCTGCGATAAACTATACTCGTGTGTTTCTGAATAGTTTGATGGTCCAAATCGTTTAAACAACAGCTCTTTAATCTCGTTATACGTGACTGTATCATTATCTGGTAATTCGTGAAATACACCTCTTGCTTTTCCATCTAGTGCGTGCAAAAGGGATAGGCTTTTTCTTGTGATGTCCATTTATTAACTTTTGTGGTTATTTCAAATTGACAAAAATACTCAGTTATATCCTCTGAGCCATTAAATCTACTAACTCTCCACTCTTTAGCTTTACTAAAAATTTTATTATTTACATTTGCTTCCTCGTCTGGCATCTCACTTTGCCTAGGGTGTGTTTTGCGATTCGGCATAGTGCAACTCAGATACAAATCTTAATATTATCTCAAAATATCAAATGTGTGCAATTACTCAAAAATGTAAAAGAAATGCAATAAAAACAAAAAAAAAGAAAAAGAAAAATTGTTATCTTTTAACAACGAGTTACTCAGTAAATCAATCGTAAATAAACCTCTATAACTTCCAAATCTGAAGTAAAATGGAAGCCTCAATAACTTGAGAAATTGTTATTCGACGCCCCACGTTGGGCGCCAATTGTCGGAAATTTGTTTGCGTGTGATGTCTGTCTGTGCGTTTGAGTATTTGTTCGCGGCACTGGCGAAATCTCTTTCTTTATCTTTCTCAGGGAATTTTTTTTATGGTCCGACAATAATAATTTTTGTATATTTTTATCTTGAGTTTGACCGGTCCTGTGTGGCACTGGGCTTTTCAAATTTAGTGATTTTACTGAGTAACACATGAAGCGTAAAATATTCGATCGCGAGACGAGCAAGTGCAATTAGCTTGTAATGTAAGGGCAACATTTCTGGTCTTGTTCAACGTTGTTTGCCCGACACTCTTCATCCTTTTTCTCTTGTTCCACTGTCCATAAAGCCTTTGTCATTTGCTCAATCATTGGTGTTTCATTTAGCTTCGACACCTGAATTTGACATTGGGCAACACTGGTGCTCAGTGTGGACATGTCAGTGTGAACTTGACTCATCACAGCATCAAACATACTTCTGACCGCTCGTTCGAAACTGTTGCTGAGAGCTTCCATTCGAAGTAGCTTCGAGTCGAAAAGATTGCTCATTAATTTCTCTGAATGAGCCAACGATTTTCGTAGATTCTCATTAGATTTTTCAATGACTGTTGTGAGACTAGCGTCGAATTTCTCAAACATTTTTACGAGGTTGCTATTGGATAACATTATAGCCTTTTCGAGATTTTCATTTGATTTGTCTATAATTTTGGTTACAATATTTTTAAAAGATTCAATGGAGATAGTTTTTGTTAGCCATAGTTAGATTGTATACGCAATTAGCTTAACAGCAGAAGACGTAGAAGATGAAAATTGTGGAAAATATCAGTTTTATATCAAAATTAAGTTTACGTAATAAATTACTATGTCCTGGTTATGACATTAAACTGACCCTCACTGCCTTGTGAGTGATGTTGGATCATCAAAGGCTAGGCCCACCGCTTATAACTGTGGTTGCGTAAGGAAGGGCGTCCTGCGTAAAAATTAGCCAAATAAATTACTTATGATGGAATGGCGTCGAGGGGTATTTCGGTTTCATCATAGGTAGCCAAACGGCAACCCCAGATCTCGGGGGAAATGTGTCGTCTAAACGTGTGTTGTTGTTTTTGTTGTAATAAATTACTACGAGTTTTTCACGAAAAATGAAGTATCGCCTAACGAAAACGATTAAATATAACTTGGAACGAAGTATTTTAAAGAAAAAATAATTGTTCACATCTAACTGCCATTAGGCCAGGGACAAAAAAAAAGAAAAAAAAACAAATCAATCAATCAATCTTCGTTTTGCGTCCAGAATCTCGATTCCCCGAGGTAGGACGTTGTTTTCTTTGCCATCAACTTTTTGCGCCAAATTAGACGATCAGTTGTATCCATTTCATTTAAATTTAGAGCTTTCATGTCTTGCTCGATTGTTTGCGACCAGGACTTCTTTGGACGGCCTTTGGGACGTGTGCCAGGTACTTCAACATCTGCAAGAGAAGTTATGGCACTGTTTCCACTTCGTTTGACATGACCAAACCACCGCAGACGGTGTTGCCGGCATTCGTCCTTTTCTAAACCAGCACGACGCAGGATTTCGGTAGATTTGATGTGGTCCTTCAGACTAATTCGTTGCATACATCGGAGCATTTTCATGTCGGTTCGTTGAAGTTGTTGTTCCAGTTTGGTTGTCATTGGCCATGTTTCTGCACCATATAACAACACCGGACGTATCACAGATTTATAAAGTCTTGATCGTAGTGGTAGTGGGATGTCACGCCGCATCAATATAGAGGCAAGGAGATGCCATTTATTCCAGGCTGCACGTATCCAGTTTGGTTGTCATTGGCCATGTTTCTGCACCATATAACATAACATATAACACCATATAACACATTGTTTTTTATTAGTAAAAAAAACAATTACACTTATTAAATTCAAAATAAAACTTTTAAATTCAAAAATACAATTTAAAATTAAAATATAAAATTAAACTTATTCAGTTACAGTATCAAACGCTAAATTACACTTGGTAAACAATATCAGACATAAAATAAAAGTACCACTTGTAAAATCCAAATATACCAAATTTATTAAAATTATACCTATTTTAGAGTTAATTTAAAATTGTTCCTATTATTATTTATTTTGCATTCTATAATTAGGTCTTATTATTAGTATTGAATTAATAATAAATTATAAATTTTAATTATACAAAGTTAAAAAATTAATGCACTGATAACAGTTTGCTGATAATTACAAGCACGACGAGTTTGTATATTGGTATGTTTGTATATATTGGCAGTCGTTACATCAGTATATCACTAAAACATAGGACATTTTCAGATACTAGTAGACTTTTGTTTTTTCTCATTCTACATCACGATATATCCATAATAAATTTTTAGATTATCGTTTTGTTCCCTCTGAACATCATGAAAATGGATAAAACAAATAAGATGATTAAAAATTTTGTTGTTGTTTTACTGCAGAGAATACTAAGTTTTCTACTTTTTGAGTAATTTATAAAATTCTATATAGATTTTTTGAAAATGTATATACATAGATATTTAATGAGTAAATACAAGCAAAATAAAGGTTTTGACATAAAAATATAACAAAATGTTTCTAAAAAATATTATTTAACCTCGTCTTGTCTTAAAAATGGTAGGATAGATTTACACAATTTTATATTGCTTTTCCTACTACTGATTATCTAACCTCATGTTTTCTTTCTCTCTTAAAATTAAATTTAGTCGTTATTCTTGAGAGTTTCTTAAGTATCAACTATCTTGTGGAGCTGCAAACAGATTTTAATTATTTTTCTATTGTCACTCTCAACTCACTTCAATCTCACACATACACCACGCACACACATTACATACATTGCTCATACACAAACACGCGCACACAGGTAAAATGTCATCCATATTTCCCTACCAATGCAACGAAACCAATGATTTTGAAAGATGTAGGCTTGAAAATTACATTGCTCTCGAGAGTTGGAGATGATGGTGAATTACTGCCAGACAATGAAGACCCTGACAGCGATGCCAACTCCAAACAATTTGTTATCAGCAGCTTCATCATCAGCAAACTGAACGTTGGTGTTAACTACTCATGTACTTATGTTTGCAGCTTAACATTTTTTCCAAGCTGTTTAGCATCATTTCAATCGTTTGTAATCAATTATCTTATTACTTTTTTACATATGCAATGTACTTTTTATGTGAGAACCACGTTTTGATTTTAATTTCGTTGCATTTTATTGTATTTATTTTGCTTACTGAATCAGATAGCAGAAGAGAGAATTATCAAACACTTTCATTTCACCGCCTGGCCAGACTTTGGAATCCCAGAATCTCCAGAAATTTTTCTGAAGTTCCTGTTTAGCATTCGGGATGAGGGCCTCTTGAATGATACAGCCAACCATCCACCAATCATTCATTGCAGTGCTGGCGTTGGAAGGTCTGGGGCATTTTGTTTGGTGGATGCTTGCTTGAGCATTGTCAGTTCTTTTTTTTATTTTCAAATTATTATTTCTTACTTTTGCAGGGAAATGTTTACAGTTTTTTTAATCTGTTAAGTATCATGTTTTAAAAAATTTGTTGGGCAATGTTCATGCCATTTTAAAATTTTCCATTTTTTATTTTAATTAGGCGAGCCATTCTTTATTTCCTTATTGAGTCCATACAATCTTTTTATCATTAACGTATAACACAACATGTTTTTTATAGGCTGAACATGAAAATTCAGTTGTGAACGTAAATTTGAGGAGCACCCTGTTGAACATGAGGAGGTACCGCATGGCTCTCATCCAGGCACCTTCACAGTTGAAGTTTTCGTACCAAGCCACAGTAGACGGCCTTAAAAAATTAAATTTGTTGGAATCAAACCGAGTGAGCATTTGCGGCATAATTCTTATAATGGCGCTTGTGTGGATTGTTTTCGTAACTCGACATATATATATATATATATATATATATATATATATATATATATATATATATTCTTATAATGGCGCTTGTGTGGATTGTTTTCGTAACTCGACATATATATATATATATATATATACCCCCAGATATTAGGGTACCCCCAGATATTAGGTGTACCCCCAGATATTAGGGTTATCACTGAATTGTACCATTTTAAAATTAAACTGAGATCGCGGTTAAATTTGCTTGATCCCGACACCACCATCTAAATCTTAACCTTTTATATATTACACTATATATGGCTCATTTCATCGCTAATAATTATTTTAAATTCAGCATATGTTTCTGTCCACTTAGACTCGTTTATTCATCTCTTCAATCAATCCATACTTTTAATTATTGTATCAAATACTATAAATTATCTCACATTGCCAATCTACTTTCTGTTTTTGATTGTAGATTCATTAGTAATATCTGTATATACTTATATGTTCAGATATTAACTTTGTTTTTCGAGTGTTAATCCTACTGATTATATTTATCGATTTTTGCATGCATTGAAATTTAATTTGTATATTTTCTGTTCTGTTTTAAATTGCATATATATCTCATGTAAAGTACTTAGGGTGGCCTCTCCACAAGTTTTTTCATTTAAACTTATTTGGTTCCCTTATTGAAAATAAAATAAATAAAAAAAAAAATAAATATATATATATATATATATATATATATATTTCCGCAATGAAACCTAAAACATAATTTTAAAATAGTCGTTGTGCACGCGTCTCCACCATCGTCCGACATACCAAAAATTTGCTTAATAAGCAAATAAAGAGATCGCCAGACAGGCTTATGTTGGCCACACTAGCGAAAATTTTGGTAGTTTTTGGCCTCCCGTAAATTTTCAAAATTTTGGTTCCTCTTGCAGACCCTTCGTATCATCTTGCTCATCCATTGAAAATTAAATTATCTGAGCTCATCCATGAATGATTGTCAAGACAAGATGATTTGAACAACTCGTGACTGGTTTTCGAATGTTTATTCAAATCTATTTGTTACACATTCCGTAAGAAATTCAATACGTTTTTCAACTATTTTTTATTTTCCAACATTGACAGCACTTTTGTTAAAAATTAACAAAATGGTTAACGGTCTATTATATTCTTCTAAAGCTCAGAGGAATCAACACACATAAAGAGCGGACGTGCCAAACGACTCATCACATGCAAAGCTTGTGATAGGCGGGACTCGTTTTTTCGTACTCTAATCCGGCCAGGACAGGCACTGAGAAACAGGACTTGGCGCTCTTAGCCATTAGGCCATCACGCCGCTTGTTTATTCAAGATATAATTATTTTTGAAGTTTTTTTGAAAACAACCTAGATTTCTTTCAAGCTTACAGAACCTTTATGCAATGGAACTAAAGGGGGCTTATTAATCAGCTAATTTTTTGCTTCTGTTTTGATTATCTTTATTGCTGTGCTCGGTTTGCGGTGTCGTTCAACGGGCTTGTTTGTGAACCATACGACTGCCGATACTCATTAACGATTTGTCAGTGATGTTTTGTAATCCATGATTGATGATTTTTATTTTTTGTCAAGTTTCGATAATTTATTTATGAACCTTTGAATATCGTACAAACATTACAAATTTAGGAGATCTAGAATTATTTTTTAACGCACTCTTATTTAGTATCCTAATTTAGTATCCTAATTTTTTTTCTTATTCGCAATCGCCAGAACTTAGAGGAAATATGCAGAGAAGCTGAACAACAGTATCTTGCACGCTTGGCTTCATTCGAGAAAGAGGAGGAAAACGTAGAAGATGACGTCATCGTCAACAAAGTCAAATCGAGTTACCAGAAAATAAACAAGAATCGCAATCATCGAGTGAGTTTTGGTCGAATTGTGCCTCATGCCGCCAGTATTGAAGACGCTGATTTTCTTTGGTTTCTAAACAACGATGCCTTCAACGTTGAGCCTGTCCTCATCAAACCTGGTCGAAATCTCGCTGAAGTTGATGACGAACATGGCGAGGTCGATGAGGAACGTGGCGAGGTTGATGATGAATGTGGTGTTGACAACGTCGCCAAAGTTGGAGCCTGCTTGAAAGAGGATGATGACGGGGAATACAACACTGAAGAAGATGATGACGACTCCAACGACGTCCACAATTTTGCTATCTCGTCAGAAACAAAGTTAGAAATATTTGAATTAATTTTTCTCGCGTAAATTTTATTTCATTTCACTCCTGTGACTTACCTTGTTTTCAAATTAGCTTAAAAAATAGATTTCTGTTTGGATGGCGTATGGTTAAAAATTAATGGTTAAAAGCGTTGGGTTTGAATACAAGAAGGAGTTTCCGCCTCTCACATGCTTTGAGTGGGATGCGTCCTTTTGCACGTATACGCTGTTTTTGGTAGTTGATACCTCTGAATGTTGTAAAAGTGTTCAAGAATATTTTATTTTTATGATTTAAATGGAGTTCATAATTAACATGAAATGTTTTGAAATATGTTTTTAAATGAACGTGTTTTTCACATTTTATTGTACATTCAAATGGAGATTTTGTTTTTGTTTGGCCTGTTTAATTCAAAATTTGATTAAGTTATTGAAGTTATGTTGAATTTTAAATTTTCATTTTGTTAATTAAGCATTGTTTTAATATTAATCAGCGCCAACATTAAGAGGAAACCTTTGGAAGAAAGAATGAAAAAGACAAGAGCAGAAATGAACTTGATGTGTAAACGTCAAGAGGAATGCGCTTTGTTCAGAGAATATCGTAAGAAGCAATTTAAACTTAAATTCATTGGTTGGTCCATAGTAGCCGCTGTAATTAGCATCATCGTTTACAATAGGTGGATAATAAATTAGGCATTATCAATTTATTATTTGGTTTGTCGTGATGCTTTCCTAGTAGCTAATACTTTTTATAAACAACGGTCTTTGAATTTAAATTCGGTAAATCGAAACATTAATTTCAATTTACTTTCGCAATCTAACTACTAATTAGGGTTTCAAATAATGATCTAAAATCACATGATCTAACTACTAATTAGGATTTCAAGGAATAAAGTTAATCAATTAAGTTATTTATGCAAGTTTCATTGTGGGGCGATAAAAATTGAATGAAGATCAGCTACATTAAACTAACATTTTATAGTTTTTACAACATAGTGATAATTTATGCAGTATTTAATTTCGTACCTTCTTTTGATTTGTTACTAACAGTAATATTACTAATGGTAATATTTTAAAAAATGCATTGAAGTTCACTTGTTTAGAATTTTCCATAATTTATTTTTTATTTTTCACCGAAGCTGGTATGTCTAAATTTTTTTTGCTAGCTACGTTATATTTTTGATTGCAACTTTTAAACATTTCAAAATCACAATTTATAAATCACGTGAACAAATTACATGTTTTTTTATATAAATTATACACTATAGTTTCAATCTTCGTTTTGCGTCCAGAGATCCGGTTTCCCGAGGTAGGACGTTGTTTTCTTTGCCATCAACTTTTTGCGCCAAATTAGACGATCAGTTGTATCCATTTCATTTAAATTTAGAGCTTTCATGTCTTGCTCGATTGTTTGCGACCAGGACTTCTTTGGACGGCCTTTGGGACGTGTGCCAGGTACTTCAACATCTGCAAGAGAAGTTATGGCACTGTTTCCACTTCGTTTGACATGACCAAACCACCGCAGACGGTGTTGCCGGCATTCGTCCTTTATATCATCTAAACCAGCACGACGCAGGATTTCGGTAGATTTGATGTGGTTCTTCAGACTAACTCGTTGCATCCATCGGAGCATTTTCATGTCGGTTCGTTGAAGTTGTTGTTCCAGTTTGGTTGTCATTGGCCATGTTTCTGCACCATATAACAACACCGGACGTATCACAGATTTATAAAGTCTTGATCGTAGTGGTAGTGGGATGTCACGCCGCATCAATATAGAGGCAAGGAGATGCCATTTATTCCAGGCTACACGTATGCGTGCTCGAACGGCAGCTTCAGCTGTTCCAGTACAATCCAGAACATCCCCTAGATATGAAACG